ACATAAAACTAACACATAAAGCTAACAATTATACAACTGACTAAAAGAATCTAATGTAACAGAAGGGGCAACGCTACCAGCTATTTACCATCTTCTACAGGATACAGAGCTAGCATAGCATACGTTGAACTTAGCTCCCAGTATTCTCTGAGCTAACGTTGTCTTACTGGCCTCGGCGATGCATTCTGAGAGCATCTGTCAGAAGGTTTCTCCTGCAGTTACGTGTTGTTTCTGATCTCAAGAAATAAAAGTCAAATCAACTTGTTTGCAGCTGCAGATGTAAAATGCTGGAAGCACACCTTAGATAATACTTTTAAATGCAGGACTTGTTCTTACATCATAAAGTAATCTGGTGCTTTTCCTGCAGCGTCTGTTGGGAGCGCTTGTTCCAGCCCGGCAGGCGGCTGCAGTCTGTCCGGGTTCTACTGTTTAGACGTCTGTCATCAGGCTCTTCCAGCTCTTATGTAACTGCTCTTTCCCGAGATGCTTCATGCATGCTGCTCGCCAGAGAGCGTGATGGGCTGGACACATGCGTGTAGGTTGGACCGGTGTGTTGACTCCTGAATCATGTCACGGCTTGTTCTCACATCTCTGTCCTGCTACATGTACAGGAGTCACTGTTTATTCTTCTACATCATACATTAATAACTAGTCTAACATGTAGAGGTAAGTGGATGTTTGCAGGATTGGTTCTGGTTCTTGTTTCGAGAGGCTTTCTGCCGTTACATGTTCTGTGTCAGTTATCGGAGCCCCAACAGTTAATTCTTTATTGAAGATAAATCTGTATATTTGCAGACTTTCTGTGTTCTGTTCAGGTTCTGACAAATGGTCACATGGCAGCATTAAACATGGCCTCTGAGGTTGATTTGTTCCTTCTTTAAGGCTTTTCAGCGGCTAGCAAACAGCTAGCGTGACTCGCCGGATGCTCGTCTGCTCTGTCGGTGCTTTTGCCGTTTTTAAAATCCAGCAGCAACCTGCATGTTGGCTATGTTGGTTTGGATCGTGCAGTTTTTTGGTCCATTTTAATGGCAGCTCTCGTCTCCCTGAATGTGGCACCAAAGTGCTTAAAGGGACACCATCACTGCATCCTGGGCTTAGCTCCGCCCACCACGCTTGCGATTGGTTTAAAGAAATACAATGCGCCAGATCACATTAGTCTAAGTGAGATGAACACAACTTTTTTTGTTTGCAGCTTCTTCTACACTCTTTATTGCTGCTTGCTTGTGTAGCGTAGCCTGCAGCGCCACCTGCTGACGACACCGTGCAGCCATTAATAGAAACAGGCCTAAATTATACGTTCTATGTATTGTTTTGTGACAGTTCAAGAGTTCTGATTTTCTACAATTGCAGAGTAGTTGCTAAGTGAGTTATAAGTGTAGCGTAGCCTGCAGCGCCACCTGCTGACGACGCCTCACAGATCGTATTCTGAAGGCTGGTGATTGATTAAGACTAACTCGTGTTTTCTTTTTTGTACATTTTGCGTCACATTTTAAAAGTTTGCTTCATATTTGTTTCACAGTTGCGCAGAAACACGGGTAATGTTTGAACGTCCGACCTCGTTGGAGCACGTTAAGACGTGTTAAACTGGTTTTACTGGTTTTACTGGTTTGAACGCAGGACTCGTCCCTGTGTGCTGCTGTACGGCGTGCTGACAGGCCTCTGAGCAGCAGATAACATGTGTGGAGGCGTCTCAGTCCTGATAATTACTGCTATAAAAGAGACGCTGCTTTTGTTCCCGTCAGCAGCCGGATGCCAGCAGCTGATCACAGATCTGTGAGCTTCAGTGAAGAACCAGCAGCTGNCCAGCAGCTGATCACAGATCTGTGAGCTTCAGTGAAGAACCAGCAGCTGCAGGCTTCTGCTGCAGATCTCTGAAGCTCCTCAGTGACTCCGAGGACGTCTTGGGCAGAGGAGATGTTGTTTAATCTGCTGTCAGACGAAGGTTGTCGGGTCTAATCCCTCCATCACAGCGGTCCTCGGGTCTCATGCAGCTGTTTTTATGCACGAGTCCAGAGGTTGTAAATGGAGATGCTTGCTGCTCTTCTACGGCATTACACCAGAGAACAAACCCAAACAGACTCACGGCTGGATGGAAATCTGTTTCAGATGCAGAAGTGACTCCAGCGAGACATGACTGGAAGCTGCTGGTGCAGATGAATTTGTGTTTATTTGACTTTGCAAACTGAATTTTACCAACAAACACAGGCTGAACTTATACATCATGAAGCAAAGCATCTCAGTCCAGCTTCATGTTGGATCCTTGACCTCACCCAGCTCACATCTGATGTCATTTTAGGGCCCAAATGTTAATTTAGTCTTGAAATCCTAAACGAACTTGTACAAGCAACAAGCGTGATGTCACCATGTGCTGCCCTGTGAGCCACAGTTTGAGCCACGTTCTGTTCAGCAGCTCCTCTATGGACAGACTGACCTGGATCACTGGGATGTTAGAGGAAACCCAGAAACATGAAGGTTCTCGGTGGACTTCTGCAGCGTCTGTTTCACTGTTTTCAAAGCAGGTTTATGAACATTTACTGTGATGGACTCCACTGAGAGTATAAAACCATGTGTTCTGTGTCGGATTATTCACATGTGACTGCGTTACGACTGAGAAAATGTGATTTTGAAGCGTTTCGTGCAGCAGGAATGACTGGTGTGCTCTGTTTCAGGGATCGACTACAAGACGACCACCATCCTGCTGGACGGGAGACGAGTCAAGCTGCAGCTCTGGTAGGAAACAGATGTCTGCAGTCATCAGCTGTTTGAATTCATCGGTCATCAACAAGCAAAAAAACCTCTAAATTCTGTGATGCAGCTTCTTGACAGTAAACTGAAGGTCTTTGGACTGAACATGACACTGATTCAAACAGTTTTAAACCTTTTACAAATCAACGACTTACCAATTAATGACGATAATTAAATAACTGTTGGCTGCAGCCCGGCACTGAACCCATCAGGCCAGACTCCATGAGAAAAAGGTCTAATTTAAACCCAGTCAGACGAGTGAGTCCTGACTTTTAGCTCAGGTTTGGTCGCCTCCAGCAGGTTTTAGAATCAGGATGAATTCCCGTCAGATCGGCTGTAACGTGGCGTTCAGGTGGAGGTTTTGTAGTGCGACAGATAGTTCAACATGTGCAGGACGAGGAGACGACGTGAGCTCCAGAGCTGGTCACAAAGAGCATCGACAACGAACCCAAAGTGACAAAAATGAGACTCAAAGCAACAGAAAGACGATTAATGGGTCCAAAGAGAAACACAGCGACAGATAAAATGACCAGAACGATGCACAAAACAACACAAAAGAGACACAAAACAAAAAAAGCTTCACGTAAGATGAGGACAAAGAGACAAAACAACAATAGAACAGAATTATTTTTGTTGATCGGCCACTGGGGGAAACTAACAGCAGCATCCAGCAAACACAGAAGAGAACGTCCAAGGAAATAACCATGATTAATAAAATATGTACACAAGATGACAACAGTGTACTGCTGAATGAAAAAGTACACAATAAAAAAGAAGGAACAACGGCTTCTGGTCTTGGTTTGATGTGAGTGTTCATCCTCCTGCTCTGATGTGATGCTCTTAGTTTATCTGTCCTCAGAAGCTCCTCAGAAGGAGGAACAACGATGTGTCGCCGCTCTCAGCGCGCAGGTCGGATTAAAAACCTGCCGTCTGCGAGGTCTTCTGACTCCTTTCAGCTCTGAAGTCTCGCAAATTCAGAAGATCTTCTAGAAGTGACTCATCCTGTCTTCAGCGCAGCATCAGTCGGCGACAACGTGTCTCCAGAGCTTCTCCAGCGGAGGATGAAACCTTCCTGAGAAGTTCAACTGAACAAGTTTCTGATCTCAAATCTAATGACTTTGTCTGTCTGACGCAAAGTGAAAGAAAACAAAACACAAATCCAACACAACGACACAAAAAGACCACAAACAGATGCAAAACGACAACAAAGAGAAACAAAAGTACTACAAACTGACAAAGACACACAAAGACACACAAAGAGACACAAAACAACCACAAAGAGACACAAAGAGACACAAAGAGACACAAAGAGACACAAAGAGACACAAAACAACCACAAAGAGACACAAAGAGACACAAAACAACCACAAAGATTATTTAACGTTTCACCAAAGTTACCGTCAGAGCAACAAGAACGACACGTTTCACCGTTAACATGTGACACAAACATGTTTAATGAACTAATCCTGACCCTGAGGACGTCTACAGACAGAACCAGAACCAGAACCAGAGCTGAACGGTTCTATAGAGGCCCCAGTGACCAATGATCCTCCATCATCCTGTAGAGGGCGTCGCCGAGTCACTGAGCTGTACCTGCACCAAACATACAGACTCAGACAGAAGACGGGTCTCAGGTCAAGTCCAACAAGTCCCAGGTTCAGACCAGTTCTACGTCAACAATAAGTCTCAAGTCAAGACCAGCAAGTCAAGAACCAAAAGGTCTCAAGTGGAGACAAACAAGCCCTGACTGGATCTAAACAAGTCCTGAGTTGAGACCAGCAAGGTTCGAGTCAAGTCTCAAGTCAGGACATTCACCCCCAGAGACCAGTTTTAAGTCTGAAGTCTAAAGTCCCAAGTCAAGACCAGTAATGGCCAAGTCTAGAGCATCTAGTCCTAAATTCCAAATGAAGACCACGTCCATAGTCAGTTCCTGAGCTTAGACCCACAAGTCTCAATTCCAAGTCCAAGTTAAGACCATTAAATGTGTGTGAGAGACAAATACCAAGTCAAGAACTAAGTACCAGGAACTGAGTCCAAGTCGATACCAACAGAGTGAAGGTCCACCAAGTCGCTGTCTGCTGCTGTAGCTCTACAGGTGTCCCCACTGTGGGACCAACAGAGGCTCATCTTGTCTCAAGTCCAGGCAAAGTCCCGAGTCAAGAATAACAAACAAGGTTGTTGTTCTTTGTTGTTTTGAGTCTTCAGATTCATAGCTGAGACCTGATCCAGTCCAGGACTCGGGTTCATGTCTTATAAAACGGTGCCGGTTTGCTGCATTTGGATTACACGTTATCTGCTGTCTGTGTTTGCTGTAGAGACTCGGTTCCTAGTGGCCTTGAGTCCAGTACAGATGATATCACAGAAACACATTTCTGGCACCAACTGGAGCCAGAACCATGGAGGTCCGAGTCACCGACTGTAAAACAGAACCCAGAGCTCTGCTGCAGGTCTGGACCGTCAGATGGTGACCTGAGATTCCCGACACAGCAGCAACGAGTCAACATATGAACAATTTGATGCTCTTCTGTGTGGAACAACCAGAACTTTGACCTTGAACTGTCTGTGTTGTTTCAGGGACACGTCTGGTCAGGGGCGGTTCTGCACCATATTCAGATCTTATTCCAGAGGAGCTCAGGTAAACAACAAGACCAGGGTCTGGATCAGAGACCACTGAGCCTGTTATAGGATGTATATAACATGTTTAACACGTCTGTGGTCCGATTAAACTGCTGCGCGCTGAACGTTGCTGTTTCTTGGACTGCAGGATTTCTAACAGGCTGGTTGGAAAACTCATATTTTGGCTTATTTTCTCATTTGCACCAAAATAATAACTTAAACTTATAGATTTCCTGTTAATCTTTCTAAATGGTAGCACCGCTGCTTCGCACCAACTGCTGGCAACGAGGCAACGCTTTGTTGACAACATGTTACCTTTGTGCCCCGTTAGCTGATGGGTTAGCAGTAGATTAGCCAAGCTAATGATATGTTAACATCATTCCCTATTAGCTAATGGATGAGCAGTAGATTCCCCTAGCTAATGATATGTTAGCATCATTCCCAGTTAGCTGACAGGCTGGTAGAGTACTGTAACTAATAATGTGTTAGCAACATGCCCAGTTAGCTAATGAGGTTAGTGGAAAATTCTCCTAGCGAGTGATATATTAGCAACATGCCCAGTTAGCTTATAGGATAAGTGGTAGATTTTCCTAGCAAGTGATATTTTAGCAACTGGTTAGCTTATGGGGTTAGCGGTAGACTTTCCTAGCTGGTGATATATTAGCAACATGCCCAGTTAGCTTATGGGGTCAGCTGTAGATTCTCCTAGCTGGTGATATATTAGCAACATGGCCTGTTAGCTGACAGGCTGGTAGAGTACTGTAGCTAATAATGTGTTAGCACCATGGCCTGTTAGCAGTTTGGTTGCTGCTACGTTAGCCTGGCTGATGATATTTTTAAGCTTTCATGTCCTATTAGCTGAAAGTTGGGTGTTTGTAACCTCAGTTTGTTCCTCTCGTGTGTTGGTTTACACTGTCAGTGTCCATCTGCTGAAACAAAATGCTTTTTAACCGTTCCTTGAGTTTTTCTTCTCATTCAGTCGCTTAGTCCTGCTAGCATGTTCGCTACGTGACCAGTTAGCTGACCGACAGCTAACCAGCAGCGTCAGTGTTCTGGTGAATTAGCTCACACTGAACAGTTTGTTCTGTGGCCTCTGTAACTTTGTGATGCAGATTTTGCAGCTCGTGTTTCTTCACAGGCTTTAATCAAACCCTCTCAGCCGAGTTATTTAAAGCACCCTGGGGCTGTTTATCGTCTCCATGGCAACAGATAATGAAGCTGTGATGTTTTTAGCCGAGTGTTTGGACTGCGATGAAGCTCATCCCACCTCAAACACGTTATTATCCTCGAACACTTTGCAGCGAGTGAAGTTGTGCTGTTGTCGTCGCTCATGGGGCTCTTGGTGGCGACGGAGGAGACGTCACCATGGCAACGGGGACAGTGTTGCCACGGCGAGGCGAAAAGCTCATCACGAGTCTCTGGTGTTTGTGTGTTCAGTCAGTCAGAGCGGATCGAGACGTCCAGAGTCTGCAGCCTGAACCACAGCTCCCAGGAGGCTCTGATGCTGCTTTATATCAGATGAAGGCAGATTCCTGAGCTCAGTGCGACGGCCGAGATGTCGTTTAACAGGTTAAAAATAGAAAACAGTCGCTGTGTGTCGCTCTGCCTCCATGTGGGCTGCAAGGAAACATCATTTTCATCCTTAATTGATTTTCTCAATTCAATGTTTAACCTTGTGATCTTGAAAATGTCAACTACAGTCGTGACTC